CCAGGACTGTCCCATGCACGTCGATCGTTAAGCCATCTGGCAGAAAGCAAAGAGGCTTCCTGGGCGGAAGTCTTATGGTTTCGGGGCTTTGTTATCTTACCTTTGGTTAGTAGGGAATGGAAGAATGGTAGTAATAGTAGTATAATGGTACCCCATTCCTCCATTCCCTACTAACCAAAGGTAAGTTATGGGTTTAGGGTGTTTCGGCTTTGGGGTTTAGAGCTTAGGGTCTTTGGGCCTTGGGGCTTAGGGTGTAGAGTTTTGGGTTTCCGGGGAAGCCGCTCGAAAAGCGCTGGGGCTAGACTGCATAACGCCGTTCTGCCCCTCTTCCGGCTCGTGCCCCCAGAACCTAATACAGGGGCCTTAATAATTAGAATAGGGTTGTGGTGGTTCCTTATTATAAGTATGGTATGAAAACCCCCAAACCCTATTCTAATGATTAAGGCCCCTATATTAACATGCTCATTGGGAAACTGGGGGTCCGAATGTAGCTTGTTCCTTTTCCGGTTCCTCGTTCAGGGTTTAGAGTTCTTCTATGCTTAATATAGGGGCCTTAATGCTTACAAGAGGGTTGTGGCGTAGAATATTGTACAGCTATAGCAAGGAACCCTGGGAGTCATATTGGATAGTATTGGTAGTTATCTAGGCTTCTACATTACAAACCGTACTCTTGACTCAACAACGCAGCCACCCGAGCAATTGTGTACCAGCGCAGGGTGCACGGGCAACGACCAAGTCACATGCATGCCTAGCAACCCTCACACGTCTTCCCCACACATTATCCAAATCTCATGTCTTATGCTCTCACATTGCATGACACATCTGCTCCCTTCCTGTCTCCATAACTCATGAGAGAACGCGTGGCATTCCCTGTATTCAATGATGATTAAAGTGCCTGACAATGCGAAATCCCTCGGAATTTCCTGATATGTCCAGAACTCGTTTTGCGAAGATGGAATCGTGTTCTGAAATGCGCCGCTCCCGAGAGAGCCTAATACCCCTTGCTTCAAGCGGTTTAGGGTTTGAGGTTTACTCCTGACATGATGATCCTAACCTCCTTATAACTTAAGGGCTATTCCTGCTAAACCCTGAAGCCTAACCCTAAACCTCTCCGAATCTGCCAGACGAGCCGCGCAGAAGAGCGGAGGTCGCCCTTGTGCGATCTCTGGTCGCTCTCCGTGATGAAGGTCTGCTGTAACCATCTGCCTCACTTCTTAAAGTTGCGGGGGGGGGGGCCTTCAAGGAAGGATCCGACTACTCGGACCCATCTATGAGGGTAGTTAGAAGAGGGATCTCAGTATTCCGGGGTATGGGTTCCTCTAAACTCTAAACCCTAAACCCTCAACCCCAAACCCTAAAACCTAAAGGATGTCACCGAAACAAAACACCTGCGACTCCCAAGCAACCAAACAAGGATATGGGAGAGTTTCCGAAGATAAGGGGTACCTTATTTGGGGGTCCTTAAAATAAGGATCCTGCTATTTAGGGTTTTAGATTAGGGTCCCCTATGTTTTGGAAATCCCCATATAAAGCTGAAGAAGAACTGACCAGAAAAGATGTTAAATGCCTGAGAATGCCGCAAAACCAAGACTTCAAAGCAATGCCTGAACATGCATATGTAGACAGATAAATATCTAGACAGAGGTAATGTAGCGGCCCAAATAATTACCAATACTATTCTGGGGTTTCCTTATTATGATTGTAGTATAATCTTCTCTAGAACCCTACTCTAATTATTAAGGCTCCTATATTAGATATCTATGAGAGAAAGACTAGGAGGTGCTTTTAAAGCCTTTGAACAATATTAGTAGGTGAGATCCTCTTAAGCCCAATAAGAGAAAATATAAAATGTCCCAAAGCAGTACCTAGAAGATATCTACGGAAAAATTAGGGGACCCTAATATAGTACCCTAAACAGTGGGATCCTGCCTATAAGGACCCCAAAATCAGGTATCCCTAATTTTCGGAAACCCTAAACCCTAGACGCTTTATGATAATAGAACCCTTATAGATCCCTTGAAGGAACTCTTAAAGGATCCCTTTGAAGGTACCCCTTTTCGGAAACTCCCATATCTAGAAGCCCAAGGGCTGGCTGCTTCCTCCAGCGCCGAAGAGCTGAAGGTGGGTTGAAGGGAAGACCTGCACTGGGCGCTTGAGGGATTTAGGGTTTAGGGTTCAGGGGTTTAGGGGGTTTAGTGGTTTAGGGTTTAGGGTTCAGGGGTTCAGGGGTTTAGGGGTTTAGGGTTTAGGGATTTAGGGTTTAGGGTTTAAGGGTTTAAGGGTTTAGGGTTTAGGCTTTTCTACGGCTTTCGCAAGGGTTCCAAAGTGTGTGTCACTTATCAAAGTTGTACTTAGGGGCTGATCTTCTGAGTATCCTAGCCCAAGACATGTTAACCTTTTCAGTTGTGGCAGGATTGTCGTATAAACCCCAAAAAGTTAAAGGTTACCTACTCAGCTACTAAGTGTATACGGGGCTCTATAAGGGTTTAGGGTTTACGGGGCGCCCATCAGTTTTCGATCTGATGTCACAAGGGTTGTAAAGTGCTCTACGGTTGCTCTATGAGGATCTCAAAAAGCTCGAAACCCTAGGCTCGAAACCCTTCTGACCCCCCAAACCCCTATTGAAAGCCCTAAAACCCCTAAACCCTCAACCCCCAAACCCCAGGTTCTATCTGCGGTTCGGACTTGCGTTTCACAGTCCAGCGCGTAGGGCACCGGACTTCGGATGTTGGGCGGCGAGTTTAACCCTAAACCCTAAACTCCCGGTTTCCGAGCTTCGAGGTTTGAGAGTGCAGGGGGGTCTTAGGTCGATTTGCGGGTTCAGGGACTACGATGTAGTACGGGCTTCGGGTATGGGGTTTAGAGTCGAAGCTGGATGCTCCTGCCTTATGCATGTTGGGGCCTTAACCATGTTGAATAGAGTTTTGGTGTATAGTGTAGTAAACTATCGGTTAGGAACACATGGGGATACTAATACCTATCGCCCACACTTCGGCGTTATAGAGCTGTTGTCAGAGCAGCATTCCAGAATGGGCCTGCGCCAAGTTCCAGGTGTCGGCTTGCACCTACGGCAAGTTTAAAAACCCGTCTACGACCCTCAACCTCAACCACCACCGAACCCTAAATCCTAAATCCTAAACCCTAAACCCTCAACCACCACCGAACCCTAAATCCTACACCCTAATATACATGAATTCCAGCTCCCCCAATTCCTAAGCCCGAAGGCCTACTAGGATACCCAGCAACCTAAGAATAAAAAGGCCTCTCTTTTTGGTATTGGGTAACTTTATAACGAACCTAGGACGACTAAAAGGGAATAAGGGTACTACTGGGCATCCTAGCCTAGGTCCTAGGTCCTCCCAACCTCCGGCCCCCCAAACCCAAGATGCCTGGACTGTCCGGTGTTGTCGGCTGCTGGCGACGTGCTGAGGAAGCCAAGCAAGCTTGACACCGATCCAGGATCATCGGGCGAACAGGACCTGCCCGAATGCTTTGAGGCGTAGGATTTAGGTATTGCACAGAGATTCCAATGTCCGACGTCGTGCGCAAAGCTCATTCGAGAAAGACTACGATGGAGCAAACCAAAATCGGAACCTTGACGCGAAGCACCTACAAGACCTACGCGCTCTCCGTTATAAGTAGAGTTATAAGTACCCTAAAGGGAGTTACCCCAATTATAGCCTAAACTCTAAACCTTAAGCCCTCATAGTAGCCCCGAAAACACTAAAGCATAAAACCCCAAACCCTAAACCCCTAAACCCTAAACCCCTAACCCCCCCCCCTAAACCCCCAAACCACCGCAGCCCCTAACCCCCAAATCCCTCACCTCGCACCCTGGGCCCACGGCCTTCGAGGAGTCGGGTTTAGGGCCTGGGGTGGTTTGGGGTTTGGGGTTTAGGGTTTGGAGGGTATCTGCTTACGGGGTTTATGGTTTATGTGTTGTTTGAAGCTAGGTAGGAGCTTCTTGGCAGCTTATGTAGGGGTCCCTAGAATACAGATCCTGCCTTCTGGGATCCTACTGCTACTTGTCAACGAGGGACCTCTTCAGAAACCCTAGTTTAACTCTAAGCCCTTAAACTAAAGCCTGAACCCGAACTTATTACAGCCCTCCTGCGGGCCTTTCCATGCGGCCGTCGGAAGCTCCCTGCATTTTCGCGGCATATCTTACCTCAAAGAACAGGGTTTAGGCTCTCGGAGGGCTTTGAGGTTTTGGGTTCAGTAATAGGGTTTCAAAGAATTGGTCTAGGAGGGCTTTGAGGCTTTTGGTTTAGGGTTTTCAACAGGGCTTAGAAAGCTTACGGCTTGGCTTCAAAGGGCACTATGAAGGGATCCTCGGTGCGACTCTTGCTTGGCATTGTGCATCGTGATGCTGCTGACCGACATCAGTTGATGACGAGAGCTGCGTTTCTTATGACTGAAGGGGAGGGAATACTATGATACACGATGACAGGTGGTAGCAGTCGTCGTCGCAGCAGCGATGTTTCGCGCACTTCAAGGACCAGGGATTCTTGAAACGAGTCAGTGGAGTTGAAAGCACTGAGGGACTACGCTGCGTTTAACCCTGCAGATATGGGAGTTTCCGAAAATCAGCCGGTACCTTATGTTGAGGTCCTTATAAGACGCATCCTACTATTTAGTGCACTATGTTAGGGTCCCCCAGTTTCGGAAACTCCCATATCTGCGAGCATCTTCCTAGGAAGTCCCCCGATGCGCCAAGCAGCCTTCTCGCGCCACACCTAAACCCCAAAACGCCAAACCCTAAACCGCCGAAACCCCTGTACCCTAAAGCCCTCGGACGGCAGAGAGAGGCCTCACCGCACGTGCCAGTCCTCTCAGTGCGAGTTTGGGGGACAAAATTCTTACCTTCGGGACGACCCATTCTGACTTTCAGCCGGACTTGGAAGCTCCATTCTCCCCGTGCACACTGCTTTTCTCCGAAGGCAAGTCTTGGTTCCGATGCAACGGCAACTTGCACTATTCACGCACGGAGGTGTTCCGGATTATGCTAGGGCTGCTAGGGCTCCAGCCTTCCTCAAGAACTCGACCACCTCGAAGTGGCCACGGATCGAAGCCAGCATGAGGGCTGTGTCGCCAAACTCATCGCGAGCCTCCAGCTGGGCTCCATCCTTCACCAAGGCCTGAACCACCTTCAGGTGGCCTGAGCGTGCAGCAAGGATGAGGGGCGTGTCGTCATCTTCATCTCGGGCCTCCAGCTGGGCTCCAGCCTTCACCAAGACTTCGACCACCTTCAAGTGGCCCGCTCCTGCAGCAATGATGAGGGCCGTGCCGCCATCCTCAGTGCGGGCCTCCAGCTGAGCTCCAGCGTTCACCAAAACCTCGACCACTTCCTGGTAGCCGCCCGCTGCAGCACTTATGAGTTGTGTTTCGCCAAACTCATCGCGTGCCTCCAGCTGGGCTCCGGCCTTTACCAAGGCTTCGACCACGTTGAGGCGGCCAAAAATTGCAGCGACCGTAAGGGCTGTGTCGCCTTGCTCGTTGCGAGCCTCCAGCTGGGCCCGGGCCTTTGCCAAAGCCTCGACCGCTTCCAGGTGGCCTGCTTCTGCGGCACCTATGAGGGCGGTGGTGCCGAACCGGTTGGGGACCTCCAGCTGGGCTCCGGCATCCAGCAAGGGCCCAATCAGCTCCGGGTGTCCATAGGCTGCAGCGCATGAGAGGGCTGTGTTGCCGAGCCTGCTCAGAGCATTCGGATCTGCATCCTCGCGCAGGAGTCGCTCCACCTGCAGCTGCCTCTCAGGGCTGTCGCGCTCCTCATTTACAAGCTCAACCTGCGAGACTGGGTGTCGCAGCTCCTCCGGCAATTTGCGCAGCACTTGGGACACCTCTCCCATCTTGCCGAAGCCTGGCTTCAACAGCGAACGCTTCAGATGATCAAGCAACAGCATTGCAGCATCTTTGGGGAGACCGGTCTCAGCCGGGGCCGCTCGCTGACAGCGATGGTCCACGGCCTGGCAGGGAACGGGTCCATACGAATCCAGGGCTTAGGCCTAGGCTGTAGGGCCTAAATACTTACGTTACGAATGCTGTTCCTTAATAAACCCAAACCCGCTAAACCCTAAACCCCTAAGCCCCTAAACCCTAAACCCTACTGAACCCTAAGCCCCTAAACCCCTAAACCGGTTGAGGACGGAACACTAGCAGGCCCAGTGCAGTGCAGCTGCACGATTTGGAGGGAGGCTGTCTTCGGGCCTTCCTGACACATTTGGGGAGTTTCCGAACATTGGGGGTACCTTATTTTGGGGTCCGTATAATAAGGATCCTAGTATTTAGGATACTTTTGCAGGGTCCCCTATTCTCGGAAACGCCCATTCAAGCCAACCAAAACCCCCACCGAAGGATCAGCTGTCCCTTCCGGTTGAGCTTACGGCCACACAGGGACATGTGGCACTTGGTCATGCACCACGCCACCCCCGCCAGTTACGCCACGCACCCACTCAGTCGTATGGGCAAAGGCTCGCGATGGGGGCCAAGCAGCACCAGAGCCCCTAAACCCTAAGCCAGAAACCCTAAACCCTGAACCCCAAACCCTAAACCCTAATCAAACCCTAAACACTAACCCTGAACCCTGAACCCTAAACCCTAATCAAACCCTAAACTCTAAACCTGAACCCTGAACCCTAAACCGTAATCAAACCCTAAATCCTAAACCCTGAACCCTGAACGCTAAACCCTAATCAAACCCTAAACACTAAACCCTAAATCCTGAACCCTAAACCCTAGTCAAACCCTAAACACTAAACCCTAAACCCGGAACCCTAAACCCTCATCAAACCCTAAATCCTAAACCCTAAACCTAAGACGCCTTGGCGCTCACCAGACCCGAGCACAGCTTCCGGCTTGCGATTCCAGGGTTTAGGGTTTAGGGTTTCGGGTTTAGGGTTTAAGGGTTTAAGGGTTAAGGGTTTAGGGTTTAGCGCGTTCTGGGCAAGAAACTCTGCCAGAAGAAGACTGTGCTTAAAGGGTCATGGGACTTAGTAAGTGAGGGTTTAAGTACATTAATTGGGGTTATAAGTAATTATAAGTATAGTTACCTTATTTATAATCTTGCTTACTAAGTCCCATGATCCTCCAAGTGCCCCAAAACCCCATCCAAATTATCTTTACAGATTAGACTCTACCCCAAAAGCCCTATTCTAACCATATGAGGCCCCTACATTACCAGTGCACCCTCCCCAGGATTCTGGCGCCCACCTCCCGGAGTTCCCGGTCCTTCCGGTCCTGCTCCACTTTGGCCTCCGAGAGATATTGGGGGGCCTTTGTAATTAGGCAAAGGTTCCTGGAGGCTCCTTCAAGTGGTTTCATAAGGGTCACTATGAGGGCTTCGTAAGGGTCTGCAACAAAACCGACTACAGAAACCCGAAGGTTTGGGGCTACATTATGAAGCAATCGTAACAAGGAGCCTTGAAGAGTAATGTTAAGAATAGTGTTGCCTTTGTTTAGGCAACCATACAACAACTGCACACGTCGTTGATGAAAAAGGTGCCTGCATGAGTTTCTCCACGTGCTCTGCCAAGGCCTCGTCCAGGCTGCAAGCGCCCGAGCAGTCGATGCACTGCCACCGGAGCCGTGCCCTCATCGCGAAGGCTTCTGGGCTCCAGCTCGTCATAGACTTGGCCCAAGAGGGCAGGCGGGCGAGGAGCCGATTCTGCAGCGCTGGGCTCGTTTCGTCGCACCTGCCCATGAGGTCCACAACCACCACTTGCGGAGACCAGAAACCGAGGCCCCAGGCTGCGAGCCCCACTGTGGGGATTTCATGGGTGGACAGCACGGACTGCGACAAGTTACGCTCCCCTGAGATCTGCTTATTCACCAGTGCGACGATCGTTCCCTGTGCCCCTTCGCGCATTCCGAGCACGAAGCTCATGCTTGCGATCGACCACATGTTCCCTGCCAGGGCACTTGTCTGGCTGTCCTCGTAACAGGCGTCGAGGTTCCCGCTCGCATCGATGGCTTGGCCCAAGAAGCTATCAGGGTGGACGGTCGCGTGCTCTGTGGCCCTGGCAAAGTTGGAGAGATTCTCGAGTGTCGTGCGGTTGTTCTCGGGGTCCCCATCCCAGAAGCCGGCCCAAAGCAGCGCGTGATGCTGCGTCTCGGTCAAGTTCACCAGCCAGCTCCTCAGAAAGGAGAGTGCTTGGTATCGACGGAGAGTCTTGTTGTCCATATCGAGAGAGGCTACAGCATCTCTAGAGACGCGAAGCGTCTCCACGAGTTCGCTCCCCAACGCGAAGACGTCGCTGACGCTCTCCGCGCAGGTCTTGTTAGGGAGGGCGTAGGAGTCCGGAAGGTAGGCGAGAATACTGTCGGCTTGCGGCTTCAAGTTTTCACAAGCAACGGTGAGGTTGTTCATCACGCGCCCCAGCTGCTGATGGCAAACACTTGCGCTGGCGCCCTGCCAGCCCTCCCTGATGCGGGAGACCAGCTCTCTAAGCGTCAGCTCCTGTCCCTCGGCATCGCCACGAAATTCCTCGCTGCCTTCAGCTGTGGCTGTGGCCGCCAAGCTGGTCCTCAGCAGCTCCTGAAGCTTCTGGACCGAGCTCGTCGGGTTCTCGTGCCACAACACCGGATGGTGCTCCGACCTGAGCCCCACGGCGACATAGTGCGTGGCTGCAAAGGCCGCGAGTGCCGTCGAGGTGCAGCGCACCATCACGCCATGATCCTACCGGGTACTACAGGCTACAGTAGATGAAACTATGGATACGCCAAGCAAGCAGTGAGTTGCTGGAGAGCGATGCAAGCGGCTCTGCGGGACATGCAACTCGAGTGCATCTGGCCAAAAACAGGTGACATCAACTAACAAAGAGTAGCCGCGGGAAGGGAAGGGAACTGCCTTTTAAAGCAAGCTGAAGCTACCGCCATTGAAATGCTGCTCAACCCCAAACCCCCTAAACAGTCCCTAAACCCTATCAAGCCCCAAACCCTACATAAACCCTAAACCCTAAACCCCTAAACCCCGAAACCCTAAACCCGAAACACTAAACCCTAAACCCGAAATCCGAAACCCGGTACCCCACACATCCACCGGGTGACATCGGAGTTGGGCTCCCCTCCACGGTGGAGATGGCGGTCCTCCAGGAGGCTCTCTACGGCTTAGGGTTGGGAGTACCTGGACCCCAAAAGTATGTAGAAAAAAAGCCTTTTAGAGGAGTTGGGCCATTATTTTACCTACGTTTGGGGGTCTAGGTATCGGGCTTTAGGGGTTTAGGGTTTAAGGTTGAGGGTTTAGGGTTGAGGGAAAGGGTTTCGGGTGTGTGTTCCGGGCCTGTTGCGAGCTTTGAGTGGAGGAGTTTATGTCCAGAAATAATACCACGATCCAGAATCTAGGATACCCATATTGGGTAACCTTATAAGGAACCAAGGACTACAAAAAGGGAATAAGGGTACTACTGGGCATCCTAGGAATATCTGCTTTCGGTTGCGTCTGTCTTCGGGTTGCCAGCGGGCGTTGGCGCTCGGATTTGGCGCCGTGTAATGAAGTGCTGCCTTGTCTTGCCCGGGCCGACTAAACCATGAACCCTAAACCCCTAAACCCTAAACACCTAAACCCTAAATTTTCTGCTGCTGCTCCGTCTACTTATTTACTCTGGAATTCGGGTACCAACACTACCCGGCTGAGAATTCCAAGCTCGAGCCGTTCCTCCACCAGCATGTCAACACGCCAATTGCGTGCTGGCGCACGCTCTGCATGCTCCATCCGGTCCATGGCCTGCCAGGAGGACATCGCTGCGGGATTCAGATTCAGCGAGTCGTGAACCAGGCTGTAATATCCCCTTTGCTCAAGCTACGCGCCCTTCGGGCACAGATCACTGCATGAATCGTCCCTGCCTAGGTCATCGAGGGGGGCCAGGTGCCACCCTGTGTTTCTTGCGGAAAGCGAAGCATCATGCTTGCTGCATCGAGCCCACATAGCAGCAACAGACACTTGCAATCGGCTAAGGCTTACAAGTTTAGTCCGGACCCTACACCCGGAACGCCATAAACCACGAATAAGCTACAAGCATGAACTTGACAGAAACGTCCGAGAATGCCTCGACAAAAGAGCAAAGCCAAGCAGAGGGCACCCGCCGGTTGTAGCAGGATGCAAGCGCCGGCACCGAATCGCAGGCATATGCCTTCACGCTGTGGGGTTCAAGGCTTAGGGCTGAATACTCATTACCATGGTCTCCCTAAACCCTAAACATTACCCATAGGCCCCGTAGTAGTTCCTTGTTGGGATTACCTTATAGGATTCTACATATGCACCCCGAAAAGGAACTTCTATGGGGCCTATGGGTAAAGCCTACCTAAACCTTAGAGTGTTAAGGGCATGTAGGATCTAGAGATGTGCGAAGATAGACGTGTACGACGGTATATAGACATATATGCTGATGGACGGACCTACGGACAGACGGATCGACGGCTAGAGGCACGGACGGACGGACGAGACACGCAGCTAGGTAGATAGACAGACAGACAGACAGGAAGATAGATAGACAGAGATAGATAGATAGACTGATAGATAGATAGACAGATAGCGAGAAGATAAACAAAAAGAGATAGATACTTAGATAGATAGATAGACTGATAGATAGAAAGATAGACAAATAGTTAGACAGGCAGGCAGTCAGAGAGGGAAAGAAAGATACATAGATAGATAGGTACGTCAACGGTCACGGTAGACAGACATATAGATAGACAGATGGAAACGAGGATCAGTACACGTTGGAACCAATATTCCCCTATTTTGTAGGGGCAACTTGCAAATAGAGGTTCAGGTTGGCAACCAGCGATTGGCTGCTTCAGAGTGTTCTTGGTGCTTATTTGTGATGTCTCATTGTTGATACTGTATTGGCCTGTTCGCGTTCTTGGTGTTTGCTGAGTCTTGCGACACGAATCTGGCGACTGACCATTGAGACAAAAGTCGACAAGGAGTGAAACAAGAGTAGAAGGAGCGAACAAAGAGTGAATCGGAATGACAGACTCATTACACATGAATGAACAAGAAAAAGCGTAAAAGGAGTTCAGAAAGAGTGTAAGACGAGTGAACAAACTCAGAGCTCACAGCAAGCCAAAACAGCGCCGTGTGACCAGAGGGCGAAGAAGATTGCAACAAATGCTAAAAGAGCCGCAAAGGTTCCACCAATAAGCTCGGAGATTTTCTGCATAAACGCATCATGCACACAGAATACAGAATGCGCACTCTTGCGGAACAGATGGATCCTACGACCGCTTCCTTCCTTTCTGTGAATCACAAGGCATTCAATCTTTGCCGAATATTCACAAAGTTGATGCGGGAATTCCTTCACGTTGACTCAGCGAAGCGAGTGGTGTGGGGCTGTAGTGGAACAAAATGAAATTACCCCTCACCCCCACCCCCACCCCTACCCTTACCCCTACCATCCCCCCCCAACCCCAACCCCAACCCCAACCCCTACCCCTACCCCTACCCCTACCCCCTCCCCCCTACTACCTCCTCAGTCTAAGAGCAAGAAGAAAATACGACGGCTCTGACAGTATACTATCGAGGGGTCCTCATAGTATAGGGGCCATAGAAAACTTGAAGAGGGTTTTGGGGCGCAGTATACTATAATTAGCATCAGGAAACCCGCAAATAGTATAGGTAAGTATTTAAACCCTGTTTAAAGGTAATTCTTTAATTGCGGGCGCTTTAGGCTTTCTCGGCGGTGAGCCTCCTCCTCGTACACCAGCGCACAGACCCTGCACCGGCGGGGCATTGCAAGCTTTAGACCCATCGGTCTCCACGAAGGGTTTAGGGTTTAGGGTTTAGGGCCAATATGAGGATTGCAATAAATGACACAAGGCCTTGGGTTTTATAAAGGAGTAGGGGCTTTGAAAGGAAAGGGATGCTGCCAGCCATTATTCAGGCACACTGTCCGGCGGAGCTTCATCAGGCAAAATCCCAAGCCCTATTAAGCCCGAATAGAACATCCACTCGAAATCTCAACAATCAACCCCAGAGGCCTGTGAGTCTAAGACTAGGATACCCAGTAACCTAAGAATAAAAAGGCCTCTCTTTTTCGTATTGTGTAACTTTATAAGGAACCTAGGGCTACAAAAAGGGAATAAGGGTACTACTGGGCATCCTAGTCTAACAAGGTGCAACAAAACAACTTGGATCGGAAAAACAGCCCAAAACTCACGAGCCGAAAACAAGAAAGGTGCCATCCCTCGATTATATGACCCGCTTTAAACGCCAAAATGCAGGGCTCTCACATGTCTGCACCCCTCAAATACCCTAACCTCTAAATCCGTAAACGCTTTAAACCCCGAAACCCTTAAGCCTGAACCCCCAAAGCCTCAAACCCTGAGCCCCCCCAAAGCCGATCCCCAAACGGTAGGCCGTGAATGCATAACCCAGCCCCGGAAGCAACCCTCGTTCCTCCGGTTCCCTCAACCCGCACCCTGAACCCTGAACCGTAAACCACAACCCTAAACCGTAAACCCGAATCCTTGAACCCTAAACCCTGAACCAAAACCCCAAACGATCTCTTACAGGAACCCTGGGGCTCCTTTAAAGGAGCCCCGACCCCCCTAAAAAAACGCGAGGAGGCCTGCAGGGAGCGAGATGCTTCGCCAGCGTGGCGTAGGAGGAGCCATCGCTCATGACATCGCCGTCCAGGCCTTCAGGGGTTTCTGGACTCCTCTTAGTATAGGGGTCTTAATACTTCGAATAGGGTTCCTTTAGAGGGATCCTTAAAGGCTTAAAGGGTTCTATAATCGGGTTCTGTACACTGTACAGGGGTCTTTATAATTGGAATAGGGCTTTGGGGGTATACTATTCCACAATCACAGTAAGGAACCTCCCAAAGGCTTATTCCAAGGGCTCCTTCAAAAGGTTCAGGGTTTCGGGTGCAGGGTTTGGGGTTTGGGGTTCAAGGTTCAGGGTTTTTTGTTTTCAGGGTTTACCTTAAGCCGGAATAACCTACCTTTTTAGGGCTCCTTATTATGATTTCCTTATATAAACCCACCCTAAACCCTAAACCGAGGGTTTAGGAGTTTAGGGTTACACCAGTGGAAGCTGTTGGGATCCAGGATGGTCCCCTTGGGATTTATGGCTAAAACGTTCTCAAAGGGGAAAAGGAGGGACCCTTAATGGGGACCCCTACCCTATAATGGGCTATATAATGGGTATATAATAGCTATGCTATATTAAGGGTATATACCTAGGGGTCCTCATTAAGGGTCCCTCCTTTTACCCTTGGACGTTCGAAAGGATTGAACAGGGTCCTCGTAAGGACTCTGCGGCGTTGGGGTTTGGATTTCTGCGACGGTTTAGGGCTGAGGGTTTGGCGCTTTGCTTTACCGATGCCCTGGGTGCATCAGGGTTTTGGATTTGAGATGCAAGGTCTTACTAATGCTACCGCTGTTACGAGTGCTACTGCCAGTATGCTAAGCCCTAAAACCTGATTCTTGTTCGTTGTCTTAACATGGGGCTCCGTATGAACCCAACGACATCTCCGATGCCAAGTCCCTGTTTAGAGTTTAGGGCTTAGGAAGTTGAGCTGTTTAAGGTTTAGGGGTTAGAGCTCAGGGTTTAGAGTTTAGGGTGTGGCTCTCAGGGCTTCGGGTTGGGGGTTCCTTCTGCCAAGCACATCTCTTGCTTTAAATGAATAAGGGCCTAGGATTTAAGCTTTTAGGGATTTGCGGCTTAGGGCTTCTGGACCGTGATTTGAGGTGCAAGGTTTGGGAAGCTTAGGAGTAAGGAACTGCGCAGGCTTAGTTGCCTGGAGAACTTTGGCAGGCATCGCCTAAATCATAAAGGTCATAAAAAATAAGACCATGATAACCCTAAACCCTAAACTATGCCCGGAATGGAACCTGTAGCTAAGCAGACTCCCCTTGTCCTTTTGTCTGGTAACGGGATTCGCCTTTGTACTTCACAGTTGAAGGCGGCCAGCGCGAAGAAGTTCTCCAACAAGAACCTACCCTGAATAGTGCAGTAGCCTCCTCCCAGTCAAGGTACTTGAGTTCACCCTATATCCTGAAACCCTGAAGCCTAGCGCCTGTATAGAACCCTTCTAAACACTAGGAGCAAAACCCTAGCCCCAAAACCCCAAAACCCTGTACCCACTCTACCACCCCGAATTGAAACCCCAAAGCTCTTCCATACCTTAAACCCGAAAGCTCTTGTAATATGGCCTTTGTATTTGGAATAGGGTTTTGGGATGATTCGACGATAAGCCCTAAAAAACAGTATTACTCATCGCTCAAGCGTTTGTCATAGTTTCGGGTTTCAGATTTAAGGGCTGGACTGGCAGGAGGCGAGGGCTGCACTAGCTGCAAATGCCCGGGGCTTCTCTTTCAACTGATTGGTGTTGCCTTTGAACCATCTGACTCGCAAGGCTTAGGGTGTGTGGGTTGAAGCACAATGATTCATGATAACTCGGCGGGTATTGGCGTTACTAAACGAACAACATCAGCTCCTTTGGCATTGCGGCAAGAAATATAGTGTGCCACGCTCTGACTGCGACATTCTCTCCGCCGCTCTGCATCGTGTGCGCAATAAACATGAAAATGGAAAGACCTCAACGCAATCGTCAAGGTACATGGGTTTACGGGTCGGCCACTCGCACCCTCTGCAGGAAACAGGACAAACTAACGCCACTGATAAAGCTCGGTCCCCGGTATTTAGCTGCCAGTGTAGCTGAAGACTTCATGCTGTGATCATCCCGGCGGCGAGATTTAAGGCCCGAGGGCTTCAGAGACTGGAGTCTAGAGTCTACTTGGAGGCCCTTTCGACTTAGTAAGTAGGGTTAGTAAGGTGGGTTATGGGGATTATAATAGGGTTTCTAGGGGATACTAAGTAGACTTACTAAGTCAACAGGGCCTCCAAGTAGGGCGAAACTGAGATCAGCTGAGCATCAAACATGCCCAGATATTTTGCTAGGAAAATCACTCGAAGTGCACCGCCTTTTTGCAAGGGCTCCGTCTTCTGACAATTAGGCAGTGTCGAGAACCCTTGCATGGAAGATCGCGGTTCGGATAATAATCACAATAACCTAAACCCCCAAAAGTAGGTAAAATAATGGCCCAACTCCTCTAAAAGGCTGTTATTCTACATACTTTTGGGGTCCAGGAATTTTGACATGTTAATAAGATAGATGCCACAATGACGTTCGAGGAGTTTCTGTTTTGGGGGGGGGGTATATATTGTCCTCGCATGCCTAAGGAGCACCAAACATAGGTCATGATTCAGGCCCCGTAGTACAGACTAGGGTTTAGGGTTTAGGGTGAGTTTTGTGACGTTTTCAAATCCCTCACTGCTGCGGTGTCTACTAAGACCGCCTCACGCATTCCAGGTTCCGGAGTAGCCCATTTAAAAAAGGGGGTACTCTTTTTCCTAATACTCAGTTTTAATAAGGGGCCCTAAACTAGAAAGAGCAAAAGGGCACTACTCAGGAACCTACTTGGAGGCCCTTTTGACTTAGTAAGTCTACTTAGTATCCCCTAGAAACCCCATTATAATCCCCATAACCCACCTTACTAACCCTACTTACTAAGTCAAAAGGGCCTCCAAGTAACCCCTAAACCCTAAACCCTATAGATCCCTTTAAGGAACCCCTATAGATCCCTTTTAGGACCCCTTTAAAGGAACCCTACCTACTAAGTCAAAAGGGCCTCCAAGTGAGGTCTGCAACAATCTCCAGTCGAGAGTTTACGGGCCAGTTTGGGGGTTCGGTTTTTACAGTCTTGGGGGTTGCGGATCCTGGGGGCTCCGCTGGGGGTTCTTCTGGCCTTAGGGGTTTAGGACTTTAGGGTTTAGGGTTTAGGGTAGACGGTTTTAAGATTCTGGCGCCAAAGCGGCCTGAGGCGGATGTGGAGGACTCAGTTCGTCTGCAGACGGGGTCGGCGCCTTTCTGCCGCCAGAAGCTCCAAGCCGCCGTCTTGCCGAGGGCTGCTGCGCGTACTGCCCTTGCTGACGCTGCGAGCGCTGCTGCCCTTGGAGCCCGTGCGCGCCTTGCGCTTGGGCTTGCTGCCCTTGCTGGCCTGCGTGCCCTGCGTGCCAGCGCTCCCTTTGCTCCCGGAACGGCTCAGAGGTGGCTGGCCCTTGGCCTCAGGTGCATCAGAAGGAGGTCGCAGAAACACCTTTGGTGCTATGGGCATGGACCTGGACAAGATCTTCTCAAAGCTCTCGTCCCGTTCTGTCGCTGTTTTCCGGAGTTCCCCGTCAGACATACTTCGCATACGTCCCACAGGCATCCAGGCGTCTGACACGAAGGCTGCCTGGAAATCCCCGCTTCCCAGGGATCTGCCAAAAAGGCTGTTGCTGTCATCGTCGGAGTCTTCGTAAGGGGACCGGAAAATGGCCTGCACATCGAACCTTGGACCTTCGATTTGTATCACGGGAGAGGCCGCCGGCTCTTGCTGCAAAGCTTTCTGCGCAAGCTTCAGCTTCTGCTCCTCCTGATCCTGAAATTTCCTCCGGTCCTCCATCGTCACCTTCTCGTTGGTGGGCTCAGGCATGGGAACAATCGCTGCAAGCTGCCTTCGATATCGCCAAACACCGAGTATCACCGAGAGGAGGAAGGGCACACAGGTGCCGGCGACGATGAGAACGGTCGTCAATGGGAAGCCGCCCTCGTCGCTGTCATCACTGTTCCCACCACCACGAGCGCTCCGCAGATTGCGGGCTCCTCCACTGCCGGCGTCCACGCACCAAGCAGCGAGCGCCCAAGACACGAGCAGCGCTTTCCACATCCTCTTAAGCTTCCATGGCTTCAGCAGCTAGTGCCGAGCGGCGAGGGTCAAAAGTCTAGCTCAATCCAAAAAGTCAGGTTGAGATTCAGCTTTGCGTTTGGAACTCGCCTTGCGAATCTTTCTATGCGGAATCGATACCAAGACTGCAAACACGAGCCCTTGCGACAATAAATGAAGAAGCCAAAATGGCTGGGCACGACTGAACGGTGCACTTCATCAAAGGCCACCACAGCTGCCTTCGCCCCAAGCCCTAAAGCGCATCAAGCCTCCAAACCTCCTAAACCCTCAACACTGAAACCCCAAACCCTGAACCCCTAGGCCCCCTAAAAACCCCCTGAGACTCCGACCCCACACCTCAATACCTAAAGCCCGAAGAAGAACTCGAAACGATGCTCTTTGCGTAGCGTAAACCCCAACAAGCCGACCCTAAAGCCCTCAACCCGACATCCTACATTGCTTAATCCTTTACCTTATTTATAGCCACGATCCTCCAAGTACAGCAATCCACCCTGAAACCCTTAGCCCTTAAAGAGCCAGTAGAGTAACTCCATGTGGCGACCCTTGTCATAGCGACGCTTGGTACTGGCCCTGATGAGAGAAGGCCCACTCACCCCCCAACCCCCAACTCTAAAATCCCTACTTAAAGGATCATGGGACTTAGTTAGTGGGGTCATAAATGAGGGTAACTATACTTATAAGTACTTATAACCCCCATTATAAAGCACTTCTAACCTTACTTACTAAGTCCCATGGTCCTCCAAGTAGACCCTAAACCCTAAACCCTATAGATCCCTTTAAGGAACCCTATAGATCCCTTTAAGGAACCCTATAGATCCCTTTAAGGAACCCTATAGATCCCTTTAAGGAACCCATGAAGCCCCCCCTGGGCTCATGACCATGAACTGCATAAATGCGTGCTGCACCGGCGTCACCGGACCTGCCAAACACCGAGAGCCTACTTGGAGGCCCTTTTGACTTAGTAGGTAGGGTTCCTTTAAAGGGGTCCTAAAAGGGATCTATAGGGGTTCCTTAAAGGGATCTATAGGGTTTAGGGTTTAGGGGTTACTTGGAGGCCCTTTTGACTTAGTAAGTAGGGTTAGTAAGGTGGGTTATGGGGATTATAATAGGGTTTCTGGGGGATACTAAGTAGACTTACTAAGTCAAAAGGGCCTCCAAGTACGGTTTAGGTTGACGGTGCGGGAGGACTGTTTCTCAACTTATGAATCAGCTCAATATTATTAATTAAGGTTTTGAGGTACATGCCTCAACTTAGGGGAGATGCGGCAGGTTTGGGGATGTCTGCTTTGGGGTTTAGGGCTTCAGAGCGGGATGTAAGGGCTTGGCCCTGGTTTAGGGCTTGATTTACGTGTGATCAGCCTGGACTAGCCAAACAGGGTCTACTATCCGGGCCTTAATAATTAGAGTAGGGTTTTGGGGCCCATTATACTATGCTTAGAATAAGGCTTTACATTAAAGGAGCCCTAGAATCCCTATAGGTAATCATTAAGGCCTCTATAGTCTAGGCTTCCATCGAGGCGTCGGTTGTGTTTTCGATACAGGGGGATTTAGCAAGCAGACTCGGGTTTGGGCGAAGCTTTAAAGTTAAAACGGTAGATACATATGGCAAAAAGGGATCTAGACCCAAGAGTACCCTAGGAATAAAAAGGGTGCCCTTTTGGTTTAAAGGGGTTGTAAAGGAACCTGAACCCTTAAAAAGGGAATAAGGGCCTACTCTAGGTCCTAGGGATACTGTTAAGGCTGCACCTACCGGGAAGCTCAAAATCCTCAACCCGTAGGGTGCGGGGTTAAGAGTTTAGGGCTCACCCGAAGTCCGTGAGGAGTGATTTAGGGGCTCATACATCCTAAACCGCTTAAGACCAGGCCTTGAGCCTGGGGACCGTCAAACCGAAAGCCTAAACGACTAGGGCGTAGGGTTAAGAGTTTAGGTTAGGCTTTTAGGGTTTTTAGGGTCTAGGGTTTTGGGGTAGAACAGTTGTAGAACCCTTGGGAAACCCTTATGATCACTCTTATAAGTATTACAGGAACCCTGGAAACCCGAAACACAAACCCAAGTGGCCTCAGCACAACCGTGTTGCTGCGGCCACCAGCCTTCGACATCCTTGCAGCACGTCGGTTTTAGGGTTTAGGGCATCAAATAAGCGCGAGCCTTGGGGTCTAGGATTAACTCTTAGGAGCTATGTGCCTACAGCAGAGTCGACCCAGCAAGTCTGCGCTCAGAATGCGTGTGGCATGATGTTTGCCACGGCGACATCATTCGACCTGTAATCTGTAGAGTCCCATACCAGCGCACACCGGTACTCCAAACCTGAACCTCTAAACCTCCAAATCCGAATCACGGAAGACGAAAGGAGTGGGCGCAACTTCCTCTGAGGCTGCCACACTTACATGAATCCAACGGCCATGGATCCAAGCTTCTACTGCGATTAGGGCTTAGGCCCTAGACTCTCAAAAGCTAACCATGGTATTCCTTCGTCAACCTGGCTGTGCCTGTAACTCTAATGTAGGGGCCTTTATTCTTGGAATAGGTCCTTGCATGGGGTATGGTACGTTAGAACTGCCTAAAGAATAGCATCATCAATAATTCAAGCTTCTCTCCTATGGCTTCCGGCTCATTCCGGCCACCGCCGAGCTCTGAGAGACCTTCTACCGCTCAAGAGCCGGGGCCATCAAGCACGCCTTCCTTGAAGAGCTTCGGTTTAGGGTTTAGGGTTTAGGGTTTAGGGCTTTGGAGCAGTAGCAACAAGACTGATGCGTCAAACGAGCATATAGGTGCTAGCCAATCGGTGCCAGTCTCTTCTATTTTTGAAGGAAGAATCACCATGGGTCACCTTGCATCATATTGACTACTGCAGGAGGTCCAGTAGTAGTTTGTGGGGTGGTATGAACCCAGGTCCATGTGGCTTGCCCTTGAACATTTTATCCTTGCACCCGGAGATTGGAGGAGTCAACACCGCCATTGCTGAAGATGATCACTACACCTGCCCTTTAGGGCTTGAAAGCTGGATAATCCAGAAGAACCTGCGGAGCACATTTCTTTTCGCTTGCGTTCTGGCGCACAGAAAATTTGCGGCCGGAGCATGCGGCACATTTCATGTCCGCATGAGGCAGCATAAACTTCGCGAGCGACTTAAACGTCTGAAGCTTAAACCAAGCCTAAATACCCAAAACACCTAACCCTTCTAGAGCGCTTCTAGCAATGCTTATAGGACCCCTTATCCCTAAGAACTACTTAACCCCGCACAGGAGCTTACTTGCAACACAGCTTTCGCACCAGTCCGGCCATAATTTCCAAGAGGCCTCAGCAAGAGGATGCCCCAACTTCAGCCAAGGAGACAGACAGACAGACTGACTGACAGACTGCCATGCACACACGCACTTGCACCCCCCACACACACACACACACACACACACACACACACACACACATGTCAAATGTTCTTACGCACGTACATACAAAGATACGTACGTACGTACATACCTACCCTAGTACTTACGACTACATATACCCATGCGTATCGGCAAACATTGTTTGCTTACTTGCCTTCTTGCTTACATACTTACTCGCTTGCTTGCTCGCTGGCACGCTCGCGGGCTTGCTTGCCTGTCTGCTCGCTTACTTACAAACGTACTTACTTGCTTATTGATGTCCTGCCTTCTTTGCTTCCTTGTTGGCTTAAGCGAGCGGCTCGAGTGTAGCCTGTAACGGGATAGAAAGCTAAGTCAGCGAGACACGGCATGCTTGCCATGCATTCCGCCAGCACTGGCCCACGTGGAACCCATGGATTAACGTGTTGTATATATAGTATGACCCATGATCTCTTCTACGAGCACGGCGCTCCAAAATGGCGCTGCGGCAGAAGCTGGGCTGGAGATCAGAGAACTTCGACGTGCCGTGTCATGCCAGAGCCCCATCCCATGATCAGCACGGTGAAGGCAGAGGTTGGAAGTTGCTTGGAGAGGGCCAAAATGGCGCGATCGTTTGGAGGTTCGTGTGTGCGCGCATGGGCAGCCCTCACAGAAGTTGCTGTTAAGCAAGAGACGTCGGATGGTACATCGAAGACGGTGATTGATTCTCATCCGGCGGCCATGACATCAGAAGACATCATTGCGGACGTTGTGCACGATATGAGGACCCCCTCGCGGAAAAAAAGGGGTTGTGGGGGGGGGTTGAGGGGGTCTGAAATGAGTACCGGTACTATTTCCGGGCCGTCTGTGTGGTGGGGGGGGGGGGTCAGGGCTCTGCCACAGGCATCTCTCTCTCTCTCTCTCACTCTCTTCTTCTGCAGGGCATGAGGGGCTTCGAAACCCCCCGGGCACATGGCCCCCCCCATTTGTTATGGGGCTTTAAGGGAGTGTAAGACGATAACTGTGTCACTCACTCTCTCTCTCTCTCTCTCTCTCTCTCTCTCTTCGCAAGCGACATGACGGCCCCCACCCCCACTCTCCCGAAATAGGCGCCGGAAATGGTAGCAGGCAGAGCTACACCCCCCCCCCCCTTCCCAGGTACGATTACGAGGGGGTCCTCATTGCACGATCAAAGCATTCAACAAAGGTGAATTCAAGTTGTTCTTGGCGGTAAGCCCTGCTCATCGCAGTCTGTCAGCATGAGTTCTTGCGAGAGGAGCTGTTGAGAAGAACCCTATATAGTAGAAGCCGGAAAGTTGGAACAGCATTATCCCCATGATTTGAAGGTAACGTATAGGGAATCCCTGCATGAATCACCCTATATCCAGGTTTCCACTTTCTGGGGTGCACTGTAGGAACCTATGGTGAATCCCAGAAGGTTCGAACATGGATTAAGGGTGATTCGTGCTAGGATTCCCTGTGCTTTGCTTTCAGGGCATGGGGATATTGATGTTCCAACTTTCTGGCGTCTACTATAAGGAACTCTGTTATTTATGACGGCCTTTATACTGTAGATCCCTTATAAAACCATTTAAGGGGCCCTTTTACAAGTACCCTATAATTATCTAGTCCCC